CCCCCCCTCCTCCGCCGGCGTAAAGGCGTTACGCGCGGGACGGAAGTCGCGTGCCGGCTATTCATCTCCTTCAGAAGTCAGTCGAGCAGAAACTGTCACTCTTGCCTCAGCTTATCTCGGGAGGGGTCACTCCACCATCAAGGCTAAACCCGATTGCATGGTTGTAGTAGTTGCTGGACCCGATGTATCGATTTTTGTATTGGCTTACCTCTGCTGTGTTGTATGTGTTCCCTATCTGCAGGGCCAACCCCATCTGTGGCCCCGAAGCCCCCGCCATCAAACCTACAAAGCCAGGCTCTATCATACGGAGACCTTTCGGCTCAAGCCGGCAACAGCGAGGGTATTGTACCTACACCTCTCAATAGCCTGCACCCATAGCTTGTACCTAACAAACGGTAGCGTGACTTTGTGTGAATGCGACACGGTGTGGCACGTTTCGCATCATACAGGAATTATACAGTCACTGGCAAATACTTCAGGTCCTCTCGCGTACATTTGGTACGATCACGCACAAAACAAAATTGCAATCTGCATTCCAAAGTGTGGCAGTAGAAAAATTTTGATCCTCGGGGATCGTTCTTTCCCAATCCGTACTACAGCGAGTACTACCTGCTCGGCTCCCTCTGCAACAGTCCGTCCCAGTCAGTGATGGTCCTCCAGCACGAGCACCCCTCCATATGAGGCACCGGCATGCCCCAGCAGCAGGCCCCCTCGGCGCGCTCGGACTCCCTCTGTCGGGATGGGCCCTCTGCTTGCCTTTGTGCGTGCATTGCAGCGCGTGGGACACGAGCATTCTCGGCTGAGAGCGCCACGAGGGTCCACTCTCCGATCGACGGTATGACGGCTGTCCCTTCCGTCCGGCTTCTCATGCCCCCTGTGTGTGCGTGCTTTTGCAGCTCCGTGGACACGAGCATCCTCAACGAGAAGCACCAGGCGCCCATCCACCTCGCCACCGAGCTCAACAATGTCAAAGCGCTGGAGGCCATGGGCCGGCACAAGGACAAGGTGGACGCCATGCTGGGCGGCGAGCACGGCCGAACGGCGCTGCACATCGCCGCCATCTACGACCACGACCAGTGCGCCCGGGTGCTGGTAAGTGGGCCTCACGATTCATTGTCGTATCCGCTTTGACATGACTTTTTCTTCAATGTTTTTGAAACTATAGTGTGTGGTGGCCAACAGGAGGCTGGTTATCGCCCCCCCCCCTCCTTCTTTTCACTTGCGTAGCTATAGTGTACCGCGTTCCCCTCAAGTGCGCGTCGTACTGTACCGCATTACCACGAATGCGGACGGGGAGAATCTGATGCTTCTGTGCTTAAGCCCAAAGCCCGACCTGAGCCTCATCTCGAGACGCTTTGTTCCCACCGCGCAGATCTCCAACTTCTCGGCGTGCCGGCGGAAGGCGTGCGCCAACGGCTTCTACCCGATCCACGAGGCGGCCAAGAACGCCTCGTCGCGCACCATGGAGGTGATCCTGCAGTGGGGCGAGACCAACTGCATGTACACGCGCGAGGAGATGATGTCGCTGTACGACGCGGAGGGCAACGTGCCGCTGCACTCGGCCGTGCACGGCGGCGACATCAAGGCCGTGGAGCTGTGCCTGCGGTCGGGCGCGCGCATCAGCACGCAGCAGCACGACCTGAGCACGCCCGTGCACCTGGCGTGCGCGCAGGGCGCCGGCGACATCGTGCGCCTCATGTTCAGCATGCAGCCGCAGGAGAAGGCGCAGTGCCTGGCCTCGTGCGACGCGCAGAAGATGACGCCCCTCCACTGCGCCGCCATGTTCGACCACCCGGACATCGCCGAGTACCTGGCCGCCGAGGTGAGTACCTCTAAGGTACCAGTAAGGTACTACCTTACTGGTGCCGAGCGACGGGGCGAGATTACCGCTCGCTCCAAGCTCCCCCCGCCTTGTATTGACAGCCCCCCTCCCCCTCCTTGTCAGTGTCAGACTTGATGTATCCGCAGCGAAGCACACGGCACTCCCCGCCATGGACCGGGAGGCGGCGGATCTGGGGTGGGGGATTTTCAGGGATGAGGAGATGAAATCCTTTGGTGCCGCCGCTCCGCGCCGCGCCACGCCACGCGCTCTCGCGCCGGTCTCAGCTGGGCTGCTCAGGGTGCTCAGGTTGCACGCTCGGTCGCCTCCCCAATCCCCCCCAAGTCGCACACACTCCCCAGCAGTCTATAAGGCTCAGGGATTTCTTACGCCTGTCACCCTTCGTCGGTAGCCAACACACACGACGACGATGAAGGGTGTCTGGCGCGCTGTGTTGACAGACAACACACGAGGAATAAAATAGCTAATATCCCCACAGGAAAGGATTGCCTACGCCGCCTTTCTGTTATTCGCTGTTTATTGGCGGATAATATAGAGATCATCCAGAAAGTACGTCCGTCTTTCGCCGATGCGAACCTGCAAAGTTCATCCTCTTCAAGCTCTCATAACGCCTAGTAGGTAGGCCACATCTCGCCTGCAGGACATGCATGTACTGCGGGGTGGCCTACGCCGAGTCTCGCAGGCGCCTCGCTCTCGCAATATACCGTACGAATCTGAGAAAATACAAACGGAATTACTTTCTGGACGATCCCTACTCCGGCCCGGCGACTGCTTGAAGAAGGACTCGCTTCTCTCTTCCTCCAGGGCACCGACGTGAACGCCAAGGACAAGGAGAGCCGCACGCCGCTGCTGCTGGCCGCGTCCAGGGGCGGCTGGCGCACCGTGATCGCCCTCATCCGCCTGGGCGCCAACATCCGCGTCAAGGACAGCAACTCGCGCAACGTGCTGCACCTCGTCGTCATGAACGGCGGCCGCCTCGACGAGCTCGCCGCCACCGTCGTCAATGTGAGTGTAGGACGGGTAGGGGTACATCACTCACCAAAAAAAAGAACGGAATAAGTCGGAATCAGGTAAACATCAGAAAAAAATAACAATTTAAGAGACTTGGACTTGATTTGTAAACTTGACCAACTTGACTTAGCGTTCTGATGTCATTACTGTTCGGGCGCCTTGCTTTACCTGTGTGACCTGCTCTTCCCCAGCAGGCCAAGGCGCAGAAGGACCTGCACGAACTGCTCAACGAGAAGGACTCGACGGGCTGCTCGCCGCTGCACTACGCCTCCAGGGAGGGGCACATCCGGTCGCTGGAGAACCTCATCCGCCTTGGTGCCTGCATCAACCTCAAGAATCACAATAACGAGAGCCCCCTGCACTTTGCGGCCAGGTATGCTGTGAACAAGACCAACCCGGTTGCGTTTGTATTTTATGAACTAATTTTTATTTTATTATTGCCAAAGCCGGAAAAGGTAATAATTTTCTCTGCGTTTTTCGACCGGCAGGTTCGGCCGATACAACACGGTGCGGCAGCTGCTGGATTCGGAGAAGGGCTCTTTCATCATCAATGAGAGCGACGGCGAGGGGCTGACCCCCCTGCACATCGCCAGCCAGCAGGGTAGGCGGGGCTGGCGGGGCTGGCGAGCCGCACAATCCCAGACCGACGATATATGAAAACCCATTTCCGCGTTTTGGGCGCGACGCTTTTGCGCACCGCTATATCCTTTTTTTGCCCGGAACATGTTTGAATGGGGCCTCCGGAGGCGACCGGGAGAGACGTTGTGTGAGATGGGGAGCGGCGCCCACGTCCCTCTCCGATCTACGTGGGGCTCTTTTGCACCCTGGCCTGTCTCGATAACGTCCACGACGCCGACCTTGTCCACATGTATTAACAAAATGTCCCAATACTTTCATTTTTTACAAGACCGTCGTCGCCTTCCCTCCCCTCTTTATTCAGATAAAGCATCATTTTGCCCTAGTTTTGCCATGCCATTATAAGCCCAGCAGTTTACCGATATCGTGGCCCGCGCAGACGGTGGAGCTCCTTGCCCAGGGGATGCCTGCCTGGGGCTGAGGCGGCCAGAGGGTCGACGCCACATACTACCCTAAGAATTTGAAACTCTAATTTTCCCTTGAAAAGAGAAACTAATAAAGTGGTTCGGTTGGTTCAGGACACACGCGGGTCGTGCAACTGCTGCTCAACAGGGGTGCCCTGCTGCACCGCGACCACATGGGGCGCAACCCGCTGCACCTGGCCGCCATGTCCGGCTACACGCAGACCATGGAGCTACTGCAGAGCGTCCACAGCCACCTGCTGGACCAGCTGGACAAGGATGGCGTGAGTACACGGGCAGACGCCGCCCCGCTAGAGACTAAGGAGTCGACAGAGTCACTTGACGATTGCGTCTATTTAACAGAACACCGCTCTCCACCTGGCGACCATGGAGAACAAGCCCAACTCGATACAGCTGCTCCTCTCCATGAACTGCAAGCTGCTGTACAACTACCGCGAGCTGAGCGCCATCGACTATGCCATCTACTACAAGTACCCAGAGGCGGCCCTCGCCATGGTCACCCACGACGAGAGGTACGCTTTATATAATCAGGGGCGGAGGAACGGATTTCGCCGAGGAACAGTGAAGGGGGTGGTGGCAAACTTCTTAGCTTTTTTGGCGTCCCCTTCAAACAAATATCGCTCCCCTTACCCAACTCATAAACAAAGGTGACAAGAAGTTTTTTTTTCACATAATTTTTTGTCTCGTTTACATAGCGAAATTTTTGGTTCATTGGGGCGCTCGACGCCTAGTATCCTGTTTGGGCGCAGTTTAGGGCCCCATATCAGGACAAATTTTGGCGGCCCTTCGCAGCGCTCGGTGAGGGGGATGGGGATGCCCCACCACCCCCACCCCAGACTCTAATGATCGGAAAAAGTGCGTACATTTGCGAGTGTTCGGTTTCTCGCTCTTATCGCACTGCGCGGCCGTGACCTTCGCACGCCCTTGGCCTTGGCGTCAGGAGTCTCCGTTACACCCTTATTCCTCCCGCCCCATACCTATTATTTCGCCGCTGCCACAGTTCATGTGAACTTCCGAACGTGTTTACCCTCTTTGAACTTATTGAACACTATATCCTCTTTTACCCCTCCTCTCTCTCTCTTTCTCTCAGGGCCCAGGAGGTGCTCGAGCTCAAGTCCGACAAGCACCCCTGTGTGACGCTGGCGCTGATCGCCGCCATGCCCCGGGTCTTTGAGTCCGTGCAGGACAAGTGCATCACCAAAGCCAACTGCAAGAAGGACTCCAAGTCGTTCTATGTGAGTTATCCCTTCGCACACAAACACACACAAACATTTAAAGTACCGTCAGATTTGATACTGTTAACACTAAGTTTAATGCAACAAGAGACAGCAACTTCTATCGCGTACGGTCTCGTACGTTCAAAGTCCCAGTGGATCAAACTCATTACGATAAATTTCTTGTATTTATATTTTCCCCGTAATTACATACCCCATCCTCGCTTGTTTTTGCATTATTGTTTTAATTATTTTCTCGACCTCTAAAACTCTATCCCTCGATAACACCCTAGCTAACCATCTTCCCGCCTTTTATGTCATGTAAATTAATTCGAGTTGGTATTGTAATTGTACAAAAAAGTGTAAATAGCACAGTATCCATCTGTTTGTTTTAATCTGGGAGAGCGACAATTCGCGTCGTCGTGTAAACGAATACAACGACCAAAATCATTCTCCTAAAACAAAAGAGCGTATGGAGAAACACGATGAGGCCGATTTCAATAACGTCCCCGCTTTCGTTGTTATCATCACTTTTTCGTTTTTGTTATTATTAATCCCCCTGATGTTGAATAAAGCTGTATAAAAAGGCTGCTGCTATAGAACACAAACGTCCGTCCTTATCTGTTGGTCCTCTCGCTGTGCTCTGAGTGGCTTTGGTGTCGCTTGGTTGATTCCACCCTGTCGTGCTCACTCCGTGTTCGCTCCGGCCCGCACAGATCAAGTACAACTTCGACTGCCTGCGCTGTCCGCCCACCGCCCCGGCCGAGGGTGGGCACCACGGGGAGGGTCTGCTCCAATCCCAGCAGCCGCTGCCACTGCCCGCGCTCAATGTAAGTCGAGTGTTCAGTACGCCTGGAGCCCCGCGGCTGCTGTCGCTGCCACTGGAGCACTCCCTGGAGCAGGAAGGAGCACAGTCGGTAAGTTACCCTTGCAGCTCGGACTCTCTCGGCACAGCGGCTGCTCCGCTCAGAGCAAAGGTAATCTTACGAGTTCAAAGTTCCGTCGTAGATGGACACAGATAAAAGAACAAATATGTGAGAATGTTGTGTGGAATGAAACGGCTTCGCTTAATTGCAGCACTGCTCTTTTATGATGCCACGACGGTAGATTGGGCGAAGTGCTTTCGGCCAGAACTCTCTTGCTCATCTATAGCACTTTAAATAACTGATATCATGCATGTTTCGCCAATGTTAACAAGTGTGCACAGCGTACACATTTTACACGGCAGCATGCTTGAAAAGAAAAGAAATGCAAAACTTCCTCTGCAGTGTACTTTGACTTGACGTCACTGTTTATAAAGTGGCCCGCACAGTAGTAGTAAGAGGCTTTCTGTCCGCCCTGTACAGCGCGCATTGTTTTCGATTGTTTTCCTGTCTTGTTTAGTCGGCTTTCAGTGTCCACGTCCTAACGCCCCGCTCAGTCCTTATTTCCCACACTCCAAATGATACAAAAACACTACAGTAACGGGTTTATGATTGCTACTTTTAAGACACTTTAAAACATACTGGTACCCTGGGAGGTTTATTTTGAAACATTGCGTACAGAGAACCAGAAACGGTATCGAGAATTGTGATCGTAGTGGCGTTTGCTGAGTAGTGCATGTTGCGTGCCTTGGCCTGCCCCCACAGATCAAGTACGACTTCTTCCCGTACAAATTGTCCCAAAGAAAAGTGGCTATGCGCCGCAAGGAGCTGGCCAACCCGCGCTGGAACCCCGAGCCCCTCAAAACCATCAACGTGAGTACCTCAACCGTCGACGGCAAATCACGTTAGTCTACCGGCTGTGCTCTCCTTTTGACTAGGAGAGTTTTCTCGGCTCCGAATAAAGTATCAGTAATGTCGTGTATTGATTTATTTGATTCACGGGTCGAACGAATTATATTTGCCACTCACTATCCAATGCCCTGCTCCGCCCATGTAGGCTATGGTAGTGCACGGGCGCGTCGAGCTGCTGGCGCACCCGCTCTCGCAGAAGTACCTCCAGATGAAGTGGCACTCGTACGGGAAGTACTTCCACCTCACCAACCTGCTGCTCTACTCCATCTTCCTGCTGTTCGTCACGTGCTTCTCGACCGAGCTCATGTGCTTCATGCACGAGCACGACCGGAACAAGGCGGCCAACTTGACGCAGGTCGACGTGACCGACGGTAAGGCTGTGCTCGGCTGTGCTAGTGTAGCGCGTAGCTATCAAATAAACTCGACAAAATATTTGTTTCTTTCATGAATGTGTGGTTTTTTTCCAGACCCGATCATGGAGGAAGAGACTGGCTTTCAATCTGACCGGCGCAGGCACGGCAGGCTCGACGGCCTGGAGGTGAGTTGGTGTTTGCAGTGTTTGCCACGAAGCAGTCTACCTAACTGGCAGCATAATAGTAGGTCCTACTAGGGATCATCCAGAAAGTACGTCCGTCATTCGCCGTTACGAAAACTGCCAAGTTCAACCATTGGAAACTGTCTTAGCGCCTGGTGGGTAGGCAACATCTTGCCCGCTGTGCATGCGTGCACTGTAGAGTGGCCTATCCTTGGCATCGCAGGCGCCAAGCTACCATAATTTACGGAATGAATCTGAGAAAAATGGACGTACTTTCTGGACGATCCCCTATCATGCTGGCAGGAAGGGGCCGGGATGACCCTAGTTCTGCCAGGACAGCATTCATTTGTTTCGACACCCTCTGCTGCCGCTTGCCCTGCAGATACGCGCCGCCCCGATGCCCCCGATGCCGCTGTGGGAGATGGACGACATGAACCGCTTCGCCGGCACGCCGCTCATGTACGCGTGCTCCGTCATCATCCTCATCTACGTGGTGATCAACACGATCCGCGAGCTGCTGCAGCTGTACCAGCAGCGCGGCGCCTACCTGCTGGACGCGAGCAACCTGGTGCCCTGGCTGCTCTACTCGTCGGCCGCCTTCACCGTCCTGCCCATGTTCGCGGGCGTGCTCCGCGAGCAGCAGGTGTCCTTCGCGTCCCTCATGGTGTTCCTCGCCTGGTTCAACCTCCTGCTCTTTCTTCAGCGGTGAGCGCGCGCACGCCGGCAAAATCTTACCGATTATAGTTAAGGTGGCCCCACGATGGTCACCCGTCGCACCCATTACACCCTTCGTGACTGACGCGACGGGCCGCGACGGGTCGCGACGGGTGTGGTGGGTGACCATCGTGGGGCCACCTTTGTGTAGCGGGCGGTGGCTGGAAAAAAACCCGTACTGTCTAGTTGTACTGCACCGCATGCGTGTGGACGGGTTGCTTACTCGCTAGGGGCCATTATAGCTGCTATGAAGAGACGATAGGCAAACCCGCGCCACCCGCCGGCACGCGCCTGCATGCGGTACAGTGTAACTACGAAAATAAAAAGGGAGTGATTCCAGTCCCCTCGTATACGAATGGATTACTGGCGCAGACCTCGTAATGAGACATCTGACGTTGCAGGTTTGACCGAGTGGGGATTTACGTCGTCATGTTTTTGGAGATTCTCC